AATGCACAACTTGAAACAGCGAAGACACTGAGGTCGTTAGAGCTAGTGACCTTGGTTTGGTCACCCGTTCAAATGCAGGCTGCAGCCAAGAAATCAAGGGAAGGCTGAGACTCAGCAGAGCAGCAGTGGAAGGAAGAATGAGGAAGAATCACCGAAGAGCAAAGGTGTGTCATTGGAGACCAAGGCTGAAACCGTCTGCACCCTCCTGTCCGCAGTCACTTGGTGCGGCTGCGTGTGTTGGGCAGTGAAGAAGGCCGAGAGGGAAACATCGAAGCAGGTGAAGTCCGTGCTGCAGGGGCACTGTGCAGACGCCCTGTGCCTCCAGAAAGGCAGGCCCGTGGGCCCTGCAGCTAATTAAGCCTGGAACACTCACTGTAGGAGGCAAAGAAGAGGAAACCGAAGCTGCCCTCCTTTGGGCCCGTGGTGAGAGGGTGGGACTCGCTGGAAAAGACAAGAACGCAGGGAAGAGCTGAAGGCAGCGGGGCAAGGGGGGGACGGCGTGTGAAGCAGGCGGACTCCAGGAAAGAGGCCTCAGGCCTGAGTCCCCAGGAGCTGAGCAGGGCTGCCGATGACGCGACACTGCGGACACGTCACTCACTCACAGGGTCTCCAGGGGTCACGCCAACTCAGCAGCACGTGGCAGCACCACATCTGCAAACCAAGCCTTGGCCTCCGACGTGCAGCTCACAGTCACAAAACAATTCTTAGAATATCGTAGAGTATCATACTATTCAGAAAATAGACAGGTAGATGTGTTGACATTTTTCTTTTGAAATGTGTGAGACCCAGGATATTTTTCTGTGGTTATCATGTTGTCAGAATATTGAAAGACGAGTTGTTTACTTTGTCCTTTTCTGCAGTAGAAAACCTAGCCTGGTAGAGGTTTCCAGGAGCACCTTCAGGGGATTCGGAATTCTCCGAGACCCTCGCTGTTGTCGAGTGGCCGCTGCAGACACGCCCGTCATGCAGCACTGCCGTCCCCATGGCCAGCGAACACAGCGAGGTCTTTTCCCGAAAGAGGGGCTAGTAAACTCGGACTTCTGTTTGTAGCAATTAAAAAAGAACTCCATCTGGACATTCTTTCCTGGTTTTCTGCACCTGCCATCGATTTGCCCTTTTCTCTGAAACACTTTGAACCCCTGCGGCCCTTGGACACCCCTCCCTCCTGTCCTCACAGCACTCAGTCAGTCTACAGCACGTGGCACAAAACCGAGTAAAACGCAGATCGCACCGCCGTGTTCGGTGTCTCTCAATGCGCCTAGCACATGGTTCCGTGCTCAGTAAATATTTGTTGAAAGTATGAATGAATGAATTTTAACGTCACCGGCAATTTGGTCTAAATCTTACTCGCACTTGAAAGCATATGGAAATTAGAGCAGTGAGAGTAATTGGAGCAAATTAGATCTTCTATGTTGAAAGCCGAAATAGATGTCTCGTTTTTTAAAAAGTACCATTAGCACTATTCCAGGTCCTCACAGCTCTTTTAGGTCCAGCAACTAATGGTGTTTCAAAACAAAATTTGACTACATTACAAAAAGAAACATCTAAAAATGCAAAAGGTGATGTGTACAAATTTTGTAAGAAAACCATTTAATGTGAAATGAACACACATTCATTTGCTTATTCCGGAATTACTTAATGACTGTGTTTTTGCCAAGTACTTTAGTAAGTGACAGATATACCGAGATTTGGGGAGGGGTCCTTGGGAGGAGGCAGCTTTCCTGAGGTGTAACTCACACACTGTACAATTCACCTATATAAAGTGTAAAATTCAATGACTTTTACTATATTCACAGTTGTTCATCCATCATCACAATGAATTTTAGAAGATTTCATCACTCCAAAAAGAAATCCTCTGCCCTTTAGCAGAAACTCCCTTTTCCCTTCAAACACACTGGACTGCCACCCTAGTCAACTGCTAACGTATGAGGGCAGGCTCCCCCAAAATGGAATTATCCTCTGGAGGTGGGCCCCTGTGGTACAGGCTTCCCCCACTAAGTGAATGTTCTGGGGACCCACCTGTCTTAATGTACCAGCTGGCGTTGTTGTGAGAGGCTGTGTTCGGCCTCAGTGAATGTTTTTGAAGACTCAGTGCCTTTGCCCCCCTTTCATGACAGGTGATTGATGAGTGCACCTGCCCACACCGCGCTGAGTCTTTAGCAGTTTTTGACCAAAATGGCATGACCTCCATGCCCCATCCTCTTTATTCACCTGATCTCACCCAAGTGACTTTCTTTTTGTTTCTCTGGATGAAGAAAGTCCTCAAAGGGAAATGTGTTGCCCATGTGGAAGAGGTGACACAGAAAATGGCAGAAGCCCCGAAGGGCATCAAAGCGGACAAGTTCGGAAACCGAGCAGGGGAAAAAGTGTGTAGACAGACAGACGCACTGCATCAGATAGAGAGGACTTTGAAGGTGACTGAAGTTTAAACGTGAGAATAAACACACAGTTTTTTGTACATAAATTTCGGGGTTTTGGGTCCCCCCTTGTCCTTTCTGTGTGCGTGCATGGGACTCTTCTGCACACTCAGTGTAAACGGAGTCATACAACATGTGATCTGCCACGCCTGGCCTTCCTCACTTAAGTTTCATTCCCACTGAAGTGTGAGTCGGCTTTCATCCTTTCTGATCACCACGCGCTATCTCACGGCGTGGAGATCCCACGCAGGCCCCCACCTTTCAGCTGTCAGGGATGTTGCTGACATGAACATTCGCCCGCCACCTCTCCTCGACGTCTGTCTTCGCTTCTCGCGAGTGGACACAGAGGAGTCGAAGGGCGGGGGGCCCGTGGTGACTCTGTGTTTCACTGTGGGAGGGGCTGTCCCCCAAGAGGCTGCACCGGGTTACATTCGCAGCAGCGCGTGAGTTTCCAGGATCTCCACATCTGTGGAGGTTATAGAAGCAGATTTTAGCATATGTTCTCACACGGAGCTAAGAAGCTGAGATGGCTTCACCCCCAGCGCCCCTCACGGTCCTGGGTCCCAGCTCCCCGGATGCACTGGCCGTCTCCGGGGCTCGGGTGTGCGGGGAGACCTCCAGGGCTCCCCCACATTCTCTCTCCTCTGCCTTCAAAGGGGTGGCATGACATCGACTTCAAAGTGCCTCAGAAGCACCTTTTCCTCTGTAGTTTTTTTCATCCATTTTCTCTATTTGGAACTTTTGTCCCTTCCCATCCTTATTTTTTCTAGTACTGTCCCTGCTGCTAAAATGCGCCAGGCTCTGGTCTGTGGTGTTGCCCTGCTCTCATCTCGGTGCCGTTTTTATCTCACTCTGTCCTACAGCCATTGTTCCCTGTCCCTTGCTCTCCGCTCCTCTCTGAGCTTGCTTTTTTTTTCCCCTGTTTTCTACCCCTCACCTGCGTGGGGAGTACCTAGATCCCATTATAAAGCCTCTTCTTATTGTAAGGAAAAGGAACACGGACTTCGGAGCATATTTTAGGCAACGCATTGCAGCAGAAACCAGACAGGGTTTCAGAGTTCGATGGAACTGAACTTGAACTCTGATTCCGTCACAACATAGCTGATGTGCTTGGAAAGTGACCACTGTCCTCTGGGACTAGGCCTCCTCTTACTGTTCCACTACATGGGGGGTGGGCGGGGCGGGGGAGGACGGAGACTCCACCTGGGTGCTGAGCACACAGCACAACGTACAGATGATGAGTTACAGCGCTGTACCCCTGAACCCCATGTAATTGTATTTAACCAATGTCATCCCAATAAATTCAATAAAAATGTTCCCTGTGCTCTCCCCACATGGGAGATGTTGGGGAGACGTTATTAAACAAAATGGGTGAACATTCTTGCCCTGGTAAAGCTTAAATGTTCTGGAGTATGGAACATTTGTTTCTTCCAAAACTATCCATTTTTTGTATCCCTTAATGGTCAATAAATCTGAATAAATTGTATGACATGATGAAAAAGTGTTATTACACTGGCCTTCTCAGATCACCAGGGCACACAGACGCCGCGTGTGCAAGGCACAGCCGTGGTCACATCAGAAGTGGGAACACGCAGCACAGGAGGGGCGTGTGGGGATGAGTGGGAAACGGCTGGGATGGAGGCTTGTGCCGGGCGAGCAGGGCCTGGAGGCCTGTGCCCTGCAGACGGGGAGAGACTGTGAGAACGGCCGGAGCTCTGCTCCACGTGGCAGAGCAGTTGGGACTTGTGGGAAGTGAAGAGAGAGGGGGCCAGGACTTCCGTGGGAGGCCTGCAAACACCTGGAAACACCTGGAAAACATCCCCAGAGGGGGCGTGAGGCCCCTGGACACGTGGCAGGGCCCCTGGCAGTGAGAAGGGGCGTGAGGAGGACAGGGGTCCCAGCGGGCGCAGAGGGGAAGGGGAGAAGCCCCAGTGAGGGAAGCGGTGTTACTGGTTTCGGAAGAAAAGATGAATGGGTACTTCCAAAGGGCCCAGCGGAGCCTTCGGGCCGTGGCCAGGTGCGCTGGCCTTCACGCTGGTCTGTCAGTGGCTGGAAGCAGACCCTTGAGTAACTTCATCTTGTGTTCGCGTGAATGAGAGGCCCTGGCAACTTCACTCTTGTTATACTGGTCAGTTTACAGGAGGAGTCATTTCCGTGTCCGTCATTTTGTGTAAAGTCACAGAGTGCGCCTACGGCCAGTGCAGATTTCTTGGGCCCCGAGTGCCTGAGTTTGACTCAGAGGGGCCCTGGAGGAAGGGGCGTTTGCACTGTCTCAGGCCACGCCTCCACAAACACGGGGACCCTTCCGTCCAGGTCCTGCAAGCATGCCGCTTGCCTCCCCTTTCCCAGGACAGCTGTCACAGGGACCGTGCGATTTGGTTCTCGGGTCGCTGACCAAATAGAACATGGGAAACTCCATTTTTCTCCCCGTTACTCCGAAGCATTACGTTGTAAATGAAAGAAAGCGTATGCAGTTCCTGGAAGGTGGGGCAGGGCCGGTAGGTCGTTCAGAAATGTTGCCGTTTCCACGTAGGTGCCCCGAGTAACGCTCACTTTTTTCTCCCTCCCATTCGTCTCCGTCAGTGTTTGTGAGGTTCAACTCCAGCCACGGTTTCCCAGTGGAGGTCGAGCCTACCACCAGCATCTTCCAGCTCAAGGAGGCGGTTGCTAAGCGACAGGGAGTTCCAGCTGACCAGCTGCGGGTGATTTTCGCGGGGAAGGAGCTGGGCAACGACTCGGTGGTGCAGGTGAGTCTCCCTGGGCGGCCGGTCCCTGGGATGCAGCCTGGTGGGCAGGTCGTCCCTGGGATGCTCCCAGGCCTCATCGCTCACGCTGCGCACCAGGCAAGCTGACATTCCTGCCTGAGATCTAATAGAATAAGTAGTGCCTGGGGATTTCTTGAACTTTACTCCACACCGCTTCATTAATTCTGACCTTCTTAATTATGCATTGAAACAGCAAGCAGGAAGGGTTGGAAGAACAGCCCTGAGTGAGTGAGCGCAGGCAAGAACACACACACCGGGCTCAGTGAATAAATGTTTACTGACTCCAGGAGCAGCGAGGCGCAGTTTCGGTGTCCGTTCAATTTCTACCTTACTTATTCCCTGTGAATCTTAATGAGGAAGGATTCGAATAAATTGTCCCAAATCAGGCTGCTCGCGCGCTGTGTGGGGAGGGATTTGTGACCCAAGTGTGACCCCTGGAGGCCAGTGGGACGCCTGCAACTGGCAGAGGAGGCAGGGGGCTCAGGGCCCCATGCACAGCACGGTGAGAGTGGGGTTCCCGCCCCGCCCTCGCCCTGAAGCTGGTGGTGCCGCCCAGCACAAGTCCACCTTGGTGGTTAAGTTCTCCAGCTTGGGCACGATGTTCCCTAGAACACGCCCCTGTGACGCTGGCGAGGGGGAGGTGGGTGTCTTCTCTTGTCCGTCAAGGGTGTCACTCGGAACAGTGCATTCTGTAGGAATAAGGGGAGACCCCGCCAGGGGACTAACGAACCGCGCTGGCCCCTCTAAGTGGAAGCCAGCAAATGCCGTTCCACGGGGACCGAGGTGATTCTTGGTGAAAGCGGGAGGGACGGAGTGCTGGCTGGTGGTGGGGCAGGTTGCATGAGGACCAGCAGCCACCTGGCGCCTCTCTCAGCCTGGACCGACCCCCAGGGGGCGCTGTGTGGGGGCTGCTGTGCACGGAGGCTGCGTGTCCGGCTGTGGTGTCCCTCCTGGCACTGCCATCCCTGTGTGCCGCCCCCCCTCCCAGGGTGTTAGCTGCTCACGGAAACGCAGCCGGACAGACAGACCGGGAGGCACTTGCCCTTCAGGTCCCAACTGCTGTGCTCAGCTGGTGGGCGATGGCTTTTTATAAGGGAAGTGCCTGTGCTCAAAAGTGTTTTGATTTTTTATTTCCGTGAACTAAAAAGCTTTTACTGTACCTGCCAACCTCGAAATCCAAGAATGTTTCCTTCACAAATAACCAATTTTAAAGCGGCTTCTGGAATGGAAGCGTTTTATGCTACGGGAAGGCTTGGACTTTCAGGTCCTACAAGCTCTGCGCCTCTCCCGTTTGAGCCGAGAGGTTAGACTAATTGCGACAGATGACTAATTTTTATTACCATATGCGTGTAAAGTATATGTTGATTTAGGCTGTATATTCTGACAAATGCTTCATAAACACTCCCAGAGGACGGTCCCAAAGATGGGCGGAACCCACAGTACTTCTGTGGAGACAGCCCTTGAAGTAGGATTTTATCACAGAAGCACGGGGCTGAACAGTGTGGCACAGGACAAAGTTATCAGCCGTCTCCCTGGTGTAACCCAACAGCAAACCACGAGTGCACGATGTCTTACTGCCCCGTGAGTGTGGAAACACGAGTGTCAGGGGGTCTCGGTGGCGGAGAAAGCTGGTCTCAGTGCAAGGCCCCCCTACCCAAGGGCTCCTGGCAGAATCCAAGCTTGAGTAGCAACCCAAAGCTGGAGAGCGAGTGTGCCACAGGCTGGGGGAAGCCTGGGCCCCGTTCTCCCAGGCCCTGAAGATGTTGGAGATGTTGGAGATGTTGGGGGGAAGCGGGTTGGAGCTGCACTTACAGGGTCTTAGCTGAGTTGGCATTGGGGTTTCCTGTGTGTGGAGGGATGGGAGTCAGACCCCTGTGGCCTCGGCGGGTGAGGAACCTCTGCACGTGGTGAGGCTGTGCCCGTTGGAGAGCTGCCTGGGCCTGTCCCGCAGGCAGGCGGTCGAGGAGCCCAGGGGCTCACTCTGGGCCCGTGTCATTCACCAGGATTGGCGTTTTTTCACTGTAAAGAGTTCTCACGAGCTCCTGCAACTCTGTGGGGTCCTTGTTAAGGATGCCCCCATAGAGGTCAACACTGTGGGTCATTGTGGGAACCAGGGGCGACTCCTTCCTAGGGAGCAAGGGGCAGCACCGCAGAAGAGGTGGCATCCATGCATCTGGCTCTTCTGTGGATACTCTGCCACGTCGGTGGGAAGGAACCCGGTGGGAAGATGGAGGCTGGTGAAGACAAGACCCTGGGGACCTGGGGACGCCAGTGGTGACCTAGTGGCCTTCGGGACTCCAGTCCAGGAGTGTGAGACACGGGCGGGCATGGTGATGAGTGAGGAAGGAGAGCCGGGCGTGGCGGGACTGCACTGGGCTGACTGTTGCTACCCGGGCCCGGGGCAGGGCTGCCAGTCTACAGCCATAGTCTGTGTGAGATGCACGAGCGCGTTCCGATTCCCTTAACCTTGTATTACCAGCACTTTCCCTGTCGCATAACCTTCTTTTCTTAGTGTGTGGGTGGCACTCTCTAGAGTTCACATCGTAACAATGTAACTCAAGCATCTGGGGAGTGTCTGACTTTTAATATTACAACTTAAGGCAAAAGGATGTTTAAAATGTATCTTACCTACTTGGAGAATGTGGCCTCTCTGTGTTTCAGTTTGCTCATTTGTAAAACAGGAATAATAATGCTACCTGTCTCACTGGTTAATTTCTAACCAGTGAGAAGACTAAATTGGTTAATTTCTGTAAAGCTCTTATAACAAAGTAAGACACACAACTCTCCCACTGATTTTCAACCTTTTCTATCTCACGGCACACTTAATTACTAAAATCCTGTGACTCACCAGAAACATATATTTTTTTGCCCATCCAAGCAAAAACTAAGTATAATTTTGATTCATTCCCACCAGAAGGCTATTGTTATATTGGCTGTTGTCATTTTTTGTTTGACAGTGTGAGGGAAAAGAGGTCAGCACCCCGACTCAGTACTCAGGTGTTGAGTGTTGTAAGAATTCCTGCGCATTATAAGAAATCTTGCAGCACGCCGGCAGAAAGCGGCTGCTCTGTGTAAATATTAGGGTTTGTCGTCCTCCTCACCACAATTGGTGTCCTCATCACACGTTACTCCAGCGTCTCCTTACACAGCACAAGACTCATTTTGTCACAGATCACACAGTAAATTCAGAAGCCATGGCAACGATGGGAGACATATTTTATTGAGGAAAATGTATGTGTGTGTTTGTATGTTTATTATTTTAACCGAAAAGAACTTTGTGGAGTTTATAAATAGATATTTGACCCTTACAAATAGAGGTTTTACTTACCTTAAGAATAGTGGAACTTTAATTAAGCTGGCTTAAAAAGACTTTACATGTCCTCTGAACAAATGTCATAAAGAGAAAAACCGATAGCAGCATTGTTCAGCAGGGGTTTGTCATGCTATAATTGCTTTTGAAATATATTTTCATGAAGTGGGTATTGGCTAAACTCTTTATTACAAGCAGATTGGAAAGAGTTACACTTTTTTCTACTTCATCATCAATATGCTTCTGTGCATATTCTTTATTATGTTCCTTATACCTATAACTATGCAATATAAAATATTAATCTCAGATATATTATTCATAATGCTTTGATTTTTTTTGTAGAGAGTTCTTATTAACTCATGCAGCCGATATTCGGGGCCCATTAAATAGTGAGTTGCTTCTCCTACCCCTGCATCGAACACACTACGTAGCAAAAATCCCTGAAATCACCTCCACATCCTTCTACATTTATTAATCAGAATTCTACAAGGAAAACGAGGTTCTAATGTGGCTGTATATACCCAAACTGGTCATCTTTGCAGTTAGATTAACTGTTAAAATGACAGAGACTTCAGTGTGTATGATTTTGTTTGAATAGAATTCATATAAGCTGTATTATTAATGTCATTTATTAGCCAGTGTATGTAGTAGCCAATGTTCTCCAGAGAAACAGAACCAGTAGTACACACAGTATAGATGTATGCGTATGGATATGCATTGTGTGTATACACACACAGGTAGGCAGGTAGATGATAGAGGGCCGGCTTTAGCTTAAGCGCTTACTTTGTCATGACAGACACTCAACAGATGAGAGATTTACCTAGAAGGGATCATCTCACATACCTGCAGAGGGCCAACAAGTCCAAGAGTTGCAGTCCACCAGCTTCGCTCTAGTCCGGGCCCGAAGGCCTGGGAGCCAGGAGGGGCAATGGCGTGGCTCCACTCCGTGGGCCTCCAGGCTGGAGACCCCGGGAGAGCTGACCTTGCAGCTCACGTGCAAAGGCAGGGGAAAGAGAACCGGTCCTGACTGGGATCCCCTGGGCAGAAGCAATTTGTTGTGTTCCCAGGAGGCATTCACTGACTGGATGGGTCCCCGTATTGCTCAGTACCCTGATTCTAGCGCCACCCACCCAAACACAGCCTCCCAAACACACTCAGGCCCCCGTCTGACCGAGGCTCGGGCACCCATCCACTCGAGTCCACATGTCAAATTAATCGTCACAGCCAGAACATGGAAACCTGTTTGTATTTTCCTAATATCATAGGGAAGTTACCCTACGTGTATGGTTTCTGTAACAATGGATTAGATTTACAATATAAAAAATATGACACGTACAGATTTTTGCTTTGTAAAAGGATTCATCCAGATGGATATTTATAAATTTCTTTCAAGAAATCCTCAATTTTATGATGTTTAAAATGTATGTACACATTTGGAGACCATCACAGCATAAAACAGGCTGTTCTGCAGTCGGTATAAAGGGCATTGCTTTACTGCCCTCATTCTTCTGAGCTTATGACGTGACAGGACCTGCTCGTGGAAGGCCAAAGACATCTCGACTTTAATAGCTTAGTCTGTAAATGTTAAAGAAGGGTGATGACCCTGAAAAGCCAAATTATTTAATTGGCTATACTTTTAGTGACATACACCATATATATTTCAAAGTTTGAG